ATATATTTTTTTTTTTTAACCAGGGTTTGAACTCGGGTCTTTGAACTTGCAAGGCAGGCCACCAAACCACTGAGCTAAATCCCCAGCCCAGAAAACTATATTTTTGAAGGCAATAAAATCTGCCATTATATACATAGGCTTGCTTGTCATTATAAATTTTGCCTAGAATTCTCATTATTATTTTGTTAAGCAAATATCAAGAATTTCACTAATTTTATTAGCTACTATCAACACGTGTGATAACAAATTAGATTGACTATAAAACATTCATTTTGATCAATATATTTTATGATAAAAACTGCAAGGGCTCTGAATTTTTTCATTAAATTGCTGTCATTTTTAATGCTTATTTGAACATTCTTTCTAGAATATGTAAAATATGCTAATTCTTGTCAAGGCCTATTTCAGATAACATTTTATTTTCCGCTTTTAAGATTGTTATATATATATAATTTTAATTAAATAATATAAATTTTAACTATTTTAAATATTCTAACAATATTTTAAAACCATATATTTTATGTCCTTGGCAATTCACTCAATTTATATCCGATTTACTTGGAGGTCTTTAATGACTTCTGACCACTATTTTTAATATAGAATTTATTAAGTAAAAACAGTGGTTTATAGTACTATCTCTGTTAAAAGATCAATTGTTTGATATCTTAGAACATTTCTGTTCTTTTTCAAAACTTTTACTACTTAGCATTTTATCTTGTAAAATTATATTTTATAACTTCAAAAGTATTTGTTACTATAACCATATAATCCACTGGAGTGCTGAGAAAAAAATGTCTGTACAATGGTGTTACTTTGAAAACCAGGGTTTCTTATAATATGAATTTTCATTTTGCTCCCTATCAACATCTTTGTCAGTATAAAAGGAAGATAGCAATATAAGAGACACAACCCTCTGTCAGATGCACACTGAAGTATTATACAGCCCTTTAGATTCCATTCATTTTAACTTGATATGATTCAAATGATATAATAGCAAGATTTTCCATAGGAAAATGTTTCAGGGTAAAACAAAATTATGCTTTTAATAACATATTCTTTTTATTTCATTGATTTTTTTTTACTGATTCAATTACTCTTTAATTGGATATTTATCGAATTGCAGTTTATTCCATGTCATCTCATGTATAACTATGAACTGAACAAAGATCTGCTGTCAAAGACCTTACACACCAATGACTGAGAAATACAAGAAATAAATACTTTTCAATTAATAACAAAATGTTATAAAATACATTAAATGCACTACTATATATATATATATATATACACTGTACATATAATGCTATTATACACATACACACACACACTATACATGTAATGCTATAAAATACATATACAGTGCATATGTGTGAAGATTTACTAGGGGTGAGAAGAACTAAAATGTTTTTTAAAACATGACAGATTTTAGAATTCACAAAGGAAATCAAATGTTATCAGACTCAAGCTCTTCTTTTAACAGATCAAGATAAGCGAATCCACAAGGACTTATCCCATCATATTGGTAATCATAATCTACAATGAGACCATATGCAGTTGTACCATGGTACTGACCCAGTGCTTTACTGCTTTGAATCTCGTCGAATTTGGTAGTAGATACATTTTCACATGAACTTTTTGTTCCAGTGCTCATCCTTTGGTATTCCACAAGCAAGCTAGAATGAGTGGGTTTTAACAGCCTTGAAACTTTCTACTCTTTTGGCTAAAACAGTGTGTTTGGTGTATGTTATCCTTGGTCATTGGTGTGCCTCCTGAAAGGAACTGACCCCAGACACAGAGATACTGGACCACTGTATTCCTAAGTGCTGGAGCTATTTTCTATTACTAACTTATACCATTGCATGACACGTTTGCTCTGAAGAATTCTACATGAGATAAATGATATAATATTTTTCTCTATGTTTGTCCACCTTCTCTATTTGGTATAATTTTTTCCTACAGATTTTTGGACATTTGGAGTATCTTCTCATACATTTCCTGTAGTTTCAATGATATTACTTGTTGCTATATATTTATTCATATCAGCTTTCACCATGATTATAGAAACTTATAGAGTTAACATCTATATTTTAGAGTATGTGTATATCTGTGTCCTCCATATCAAGTAATACAGTATTGTAAATATAACTGACCATGGAAACACAGTTGACTTCTTTTGTGAAACAGTTTTTCAGATATGACTGTTGTAAGAAAGGCATCAAATGTGATATTATATAAATATGCACTTTTTGGATCTCTTCAGTGCTTTCCATTGGGCTCTAGGAATTACATATGTGTAAATCTAGGATCTCAGGGAAAGATGAGTAAGTTGGTTATTGGCAGATTCCTTTAGGTCTTGAATTACCAAAGTGAGTCCACAGTTGGAAAGGAGGAAGGAGATGTCTGCTGCATGAAGTTCTCACATGTTTGGGCTCCAAGGCTGTCACACCCCACCACTCCGACTACAAATTGACTGTCCCAGCTGCTGAGCAATAAATAAAACCACAGAACCAACCAAACAAACAAACAGAGTGAACAGCAACAAAGAGCCTTTTAGGGTTATTTTAAGAATGTGATCAACCAACCAGAAAACTTTTATTGTGCAATCAGTTACCATCTGCAGTCAATAAAATGTTACCAGTTGGCCTAAATCTGTAGCTCACTGGTCACTTGTGTTTTTGAGTATATTTGGTCCGATGCCTGTGTGCACCTGTTTATCCAGCGCACTCAGTATCCTACAGGCTAAAAGAGACAGTGAGAAAGGCATTACACCTGCAAGAAAACATATCCGCATTCTCTCCACACTTGCCTTTAGATGGATTTCTCCACTAGTCAGTGAAGGCATGCCAGTGAGTTTACATCCTCTCGCCCAACTTTAGTTACAAAAATGAAAAGCAGAAGCGTACACATGTACGTGGTCTCCATATACCTTTATTTCATGAAAGTATGAGTTTAATCCAGGATGGTAAAACAACTTCACAAATTGTTGTAGGAATTACAGTGATTCAATATAAATGAAATCCCAGCTGGCATCAGTACAAGACTGCTGTGAAGAATCGCTTTATTTAAAGCCACTTCTATCACTTGGTCAAGCGCTGTTAAAAAGGAGGAAAAAGGCTGTGGGAAAAAAGGTAATGAATATCGGAAATGAATGAAATAGAGAGAAAACTATTGGTACAGTATGAAAAATATGAAGTCCATTAAAGTAATGGCAGTCCAATCTATAAAATTTCTCCAGGTGTCTTATAAAATAGCTCCACATGATTCCCTTATTTTCAGCTAGTATAATCAGTAAAAATGGGCCCCGGTTCTGTTGTTCATATGGAAAAGGGCAGGGAAGTTTCAAGTTTACTATCAGAAAACTGAGAGTTGGGAACCTGGAGTTGTCATGACTTGTGTGGATTTGAGAAATATCTGACTTAACCTCAATGGCTGTTGGTTTTTAGTTAATTATAATATGTACATATGAGTATTCAAATATGTGGAATCCCAGAACGGCAAGTCAAATTCCTTTACCTTATAAATGATAAGACTCTGCCCAGAGGAAAAAGGATTAGCTGTATATCATCAACTGAATAATGAGGCCTGAGAGAAAAGTTGACATTTTCTAACGCTATTGGATGGGGTCTCGGGACATTTCTCTTCAAAGTATGGTCCCTGGAGGAGCAACAGCAGTGTGATTGTGGAGATTGTTAGCCATGTAGAAAGGCTGCCAAGATCCCAGCCAGACCACTGTGTCAGAACCTGCTTTGTAACCAGATCCCCAGGTAAGTCCTCCTTCCTTTAGTGTTTTAGAAATAACTGGCATAAATGAATAGATCAATGAAAAACAAGCACGCTGAGTTAGTGTGTTCTATAATTCTAGTAGAGAGCTTCACTTAAATTTGTTGCCGTGCATACTTTTAATTCAAATTATAGAATTGAATAAAAAAGCCTTTATAATAATTTCATTAATAATAATGAGATAACATTTATCACATGTATCAAATCCATATATTCCAGTGAACTCTCAGCTCCTCTGACAAATCAAACTAATAAATATTTCATGGAATATTTGCATATTATGAGCCACTACTTAATTTTCAAAAGATAACTTCACTCAAAGCCATTAGAAAGAATTATAGAGTTTAGAGATTCCCTCCCTCTCTCAAAACTAGGCATTAAATAAAAATAAACTAACAAACTGAGAGAAATTAGCAAATTATTAAAGAAAAGAGCAGTAGATATATATTTTTACATTTTAATTTCAAATAAGTTTACTGGTAGGTCTACGCATCAAAAAATATGACTTGTCTAACCCCTAAATCATCTGTTTAAAACACCTAAAATACTGCCAATATATCTTTGAAACATTCCTCTCTAGTGACAAACGCAGTACGTGTCTATACTAAGTGCTCAATAAATATTGTTTACAGGAAACATGGGAAGGCGGGAACTAGACTGAAGCTTTCTTTTTATTTTGTTCACATAAGAAAAGAAATAACCACTGTCTGATGGGAGTATAGAATGGTGCAACCCTCGTGGATATCAGTGTGAGACTCTTCAAAAAACTAGGATTAGAAGTTCCATTTGACCCAGCTATTCCTCTTCTGGGTATGTTCTCAAAAGAATTCAAAACATTATACCACAGCAACATAGGCTCATCCATGTTATAGCAGCACAGTTTGTAGTAGCCAAATCTTAGAAACAACCCAAATGCCCATCAACTGATGAACAGATAAAAAAGATGTGTTTTTTTTTTAATATAATGCATCACTATTCAACCATAAAGGCAGATAAGACATTTCTAGGAAAATGGGTACACCTGAAAATATACTCTTAAGTGAAATAAATCAAACACACATGTGTAAATATCACATTCTCTCTCTGGTGTGAGAAACTGAAAGTGAAAATGAAGACCAAAATGAACAATAAATGTTGTGAAATAGGAAGAAATTGTTCAAAATTGTGCAGAATGTGAGATACTTTGTGAGTACTTAAAATGATTTATGCAAGAAAGGTATAGTATTATTAGGAAATGAGCTGAGAAATTAACAATGAAAATATACTCTTTCTAGATCATGATCACAGTGTATTTGTTACACTCTAATAATTTTTATTATGAAAAGTTACTTTTTCAAGAACAGCTTTTATTAATATTAATTTATTAAGATCTACTTGTAACATATTAAAATGAAAAATTTTAAGCAAGCCCAATTCATACAGTGTAAGAATTAGAAGTTACTTCACATAGTCAATAAAAAGAAAAGTTCGAAGGAAATTTTGATTATTATTATGACTAGAGGAAAATTTGGCACCTGTGAAAAATGAAACTTAAGATACCTAAGTCTAATTTTGGGAGAGTCATTTGAGAAACACTTCAGTGGAATGATTAAAGGTCGAATTTAGAAACTAGAGGGAATAACACCGTACAATCAATGAGATTCAGCAGAAATTCTAGAAAAAAAGAAAGGCAACAAGTAGCCTTAATGGAAAGCAAAGTGGTAAAAGTTGCACTCTGTTTGATACATCACAATCAATTCACATTTTAAAATATTCTATAAAGTAGAATGTTTCTAATAATTTTGATTCTGGAGCATGGTATAACAATATGACTGAAAATATCTACTCCCAAATCCTTGGAATCTTTGAATTTATTGTATAACATTGTAAGAGCACTTTTTCTGATATAATTTAGATTAAGGATTTTCAAATGTGGAGTTCATCCTCAATTAAACAATTTAGCCCAATCTCATTACATTAGTCCTTGAAAGTAGGGAGCTGTTCCCACATGGAACCAGAAGAGATACCACGGAAGGTGAAGGCTGAGAAATGCTGACTGTGAAACCATTTCACACAGTTTCTATAATTCTGAGATGAGAAGTTCCACCTGCAAAGGCTAGAAAGACCTCAAGGAGGAGAGTCGGGAAGCAGAGATTTCAGTCTTGTGTTTACAAGTAAATAACTTTTAACAGAGCGAATAAACTTGCGAGTGGACTCTTCCTCAGATATTCCAGTAAAAACTGTAGCAGTGCTGATATGTCAGTGGCATTCTTTTGAGATCTGGAGCAAAGGAACAAGTCCAGGTATGAAGTGCTCAACATGTGTGTTCCATTGAGTTGCAATTTTTATTTTTTTTTTGTAATTCACTATAACAGCAATAGAAAACGTATTGGTGGATATCAATTATTAATAACTTTAAATTAATCTCTAGTGATTCTAATGAGCAGCTGGATTTGAGGAATCTTTTGTATACAGTGTGATAACCATGGTAAGAAAAAATATTGGAAAGCATAAACTAAATTTCGCTAGTAGGTGTTTAGTTTGTGTAAATCTGATTCTCTCAAAGAATTAGTAACATACTAACAAGCTATTAAGATAAGTGCAAAGTCTATTAGATGCATGCTGTCAAAATCGATGTACAGAGAGGCCAAGAGATTAGGGGAAGGGAAAGAAAATAGAAGTAAAAAGAATTAGGATGTATTATGGACATGCACTAACTTCCCAGGTTGAATGTAATCATTGTATACTGAAATCATGTACTGATACAAGTGGATTTTTAAAAACAAAATCATTATATAAAAGTTATTAGCTTTTCAATATGACCACTTAGAGATCTTAAGGAAAAAAAATATGCTATATTCCTTGTTAGCTAAAACTCGATATGAGTCAGTTATCTGAAACATTAACCTTGAAATCCTTGCCCATCTTGAGCCTCAGGCAGTGGGCCGCCTAACTAAGAGCACAGGTGCGTAAACACCACAGTGAATATCTCATATCTGAGTATTTACACCACATTCCCATAGAAAATACAAAGTTCCTTACATATATAGAGGAAAGTTATAAATTAATAAACAGGCATTACCACAATTCTTTTCTGTTGTAGCGTTAAATGTATCATATTAGAGGAAGATTCTAAACACTATAATTACACAGATCTATCAGTAGTAAACAGCAAAGTCAGAACAAGCGATCATAGTTCTTGGCTAAAGCAACACCTTGTTGTTGTTGTTGTTTTTTTTTAATTGTCATATTCTATAGTATCTGAAATAACCGACAGTCTTCTTTTCTGATTATTTAATGTTATCTTTTGTTCACTCTTAACTCATCAAATGTTTAGAAACTTATTCTGAGGAATATCATCAATGATATAGATAAAATGTCACAAAATCCATCCATAATCTCATTCATAAGAAAACACTGATGATTCTAGATAGTCTTGACGCAATAAAATTCTTGATACTTGTAATCTTATTGGTTAGTTATAACTTTGACCCATAACGTACTTACCTCATGATTTTTTCGGTATAAAAAAAATCAAACTTTCTCTGAGTAGTGGGATCCTTGGAAACCCATGTGGGACCCCTCCTGTCTCTCAGGAGCTTTTCCTATTTTCCATTCCTATTCTCCTATAAATTTTGCTACTCTTAAAAAAAAGAATAAATATTCTGCATCTCAGAATATAAATCTAGAGATGCTTCAGGATGAAAGTAGCTCTAATTTTTCAATTTCTAAATAAGCAATAAAACTAATCCTGAGATAATTACTTTAATACTAACAACTGGAGCCTGCAGATAAAAATAACTTAATTTTTCTCAGATAATCTCAGCTAGAAGTTATGGTAGACAGCAGAATTACAGTGACTCTGGATTGAATTGACATTGCCAAGCACTACTACCTCAAGGTGAGTTAATGAATGTAGTGAGAATAGGAAAGTTGAAATGTTAAATGTACTAAGTATTTTTTGCTCATGTATGTTATATTATCTAGCCTTTCAGTAATACCTTACTATAGTTTAAAAATACAATTAATAAATTATCATAGCATGGAATTAGTTATGAATAGTATTATGATATATATATATAGCATAAAGCGTTTTTTATAATTTTGAATATGAACCTTGTAGGAAAGGATGAGCGAATGTTTCATTTAAAATAAAAGTAATTAGAAAGCTTTTTTGGTTCAATGAAGTTTGACTTGAAAAAGAGATCGTGATGGGAACAATGAAGTGACTAATGGTGGCATCTGTACCTACCAAAGAGCAGAATGGACATACAAATCTATTGTTTCGTTTAGTGGACAGATTTCTCGAGTGTTACTTGAGAGAATGGGATCAAAGAGCACTTTATATTGATTTGATACTGAAAATAAAATAAAACTGCATGCACAGAGTCAAATTGTTCTACTTATCTTGGAAAATTTAGTTAATCCAATCACGTGAAAAAATCAAACATAGCTAGAGTTTAGTTTATCTTGCCTTATTGAATTGGTGTAAAGTTTCAGCTAATTCAGCACAGACAACTTCTGGAGCTCTGGTATATAGCATTCTGCTTAACTAGTAGAATTTCTTTTTCATGTTTGTATAGAAATATTTATCACTAGCATTATAGCACTAATTATATTATACACATACATAGGGTTATAAAGCACATTAGGGACTTTTACTTTGTGTTCATTTGAATTTATTACTTTTCATACACTAAAGAAATTAAATTGATACACTTTTCTCCATTAACTTGGAATATTACACTGTATACTTAAAATTTTATTAAGAGCATCCCATATTATTTATTCTTACCTCAATTTAAAAAAGTAATTCATTCTCATATTTTAAAATTTAGTCGCTGATTTTTATTTTATTTTTATTTTATTTTTATTTTGTTGTTTTAGAGTCAAGTTCTCATCATGTCCAGTTTGATTGTGAACTGAATACACACACACACACATTCAAACTTTCTCTGTTCTTGCTATTTCAATCTGCACTTTGAGGTGGTGAAAGATTAAAGGGAGTGGGGGTTAACATACACTAAACTTAGAGAGATAGTAGATAGTTGTTTTATAAAGTCCTAATGACAATCTTAAAAAAAAAAAAACTCTAGTATTGTTCCTATTTGAGGGTTTAGAAAACAAATTAGAGACCTTTATTAAATTAAATATTGACTTGCTTTATTTTTGAGGTATATTAACTACTGTGAAAAATGAAACTTAAGATACCTAAGTCTAATTTTGGGAGAGTCATTTGAGAAACACTTCAGTGGAATGATTAAAGGTCGAATTTAGAAACTAGAGGGAATAACACCGTACAATCAATGAGATTCAGCAGAAATTCTAGAAAAAAAGAAAGGCAACAAGTAGCCTTAATGGAAAGCAAAGTGGTAAAAGTTGCACTCTGTTTGATACATCACAATCAATTCACATTTTAAAATATTCTATAAAGTAGAATGTTTCTAATAATTTTGATTCTGGAGCATGGTATAACAATATGACTGAAAATATCTACTCCCAAATCCTTGGAATCTTTGAATTTATTGTATAACATTGTAAGAGCACTTTTTCTGATATAATTTAGATTAAGGATTTTCAAATGTGGAGTTCATCCTCAATTAAACAATTTAGCCCAATCTCATTACATTAGTCCTTGAAAGTAGGGAGCTGTTCCCACATGGAACCAGAAGAGATACCACGGAAGGTGAAGGCTGAGAAATGCTGACTGTGAAACCATTTCACACAGTTTCTATAATTCTGAGATGAGAAGTTCCACCTGCAAAGGCTAGAAAGACCTCAAGGAGGAGAGTCGGGAAGCAGAGATTTCAGTCTTGTGTTTACAAGTAAATAACTTTTAACAGAGCGAATAAACTTGCGAGTGGACTCTTCCTCAGATATTCCAGTAAAAACTGTAGCAGTGCTGATATGTCAGTGGCATTCTTTTGAGATCTGGAGCAAAGGAACAAGTCCAGGTATGAAGTGCTCAACATGTGTGTTCCATTGAGTTGCAATTTTTATTTTTTTTTTTGTAATTCACTATAACAGCAATAGAAAACTAATGTATTGGTGGATATCAATTATTAATAACTTTAAATTAATCTGTAGTGATTCTAATGAGCAGCTGGATTTGAGGAATCTTTTGTATACAGTGTGATAACCATGGTAAGAAAAAATATTGGAAAGCATAAACTAAATTTCGCTAGTAGGTGTTTAGTTTGTGTAAATCTGATTCTCTCAAAGAATTAGTAACATACTAACAAGCTATTAAGATAAGTGCAAAGTCTATTAGATGCATGCTGTCAAAATCGATGTACAGAGAGGCCAAGAGATTAGGGGAAGGGAAAGAAAATAGAAGTAAAAAGAATTAGGATGTATTATGGACATGCACTAACTTCCCAGGTTGAATGTAATCATTGTATACTGAAATCATGTACTGATACAAGTGGATTTTTAAAAACAAAATCATTATATAAAAGTTATTAGCTTTTCAATATGACCACTTAGAGATCTTAAGGAAAAAAAATATGCTATATTCCTTGTTAGCTAAAACTCGATATGAGTCAGTTATCTGAAACATTAACCTTGAAATCCTTGCCCATCTTGAGCCTCAGGCAGTGGGCCGCCTAACTAAGAGCACAGGTGCGTAAACACCACAGTGAATATCTCATATCTGAGTATTTACACCACATTCCCATAGAAAATACAAAGTTCCTTACATATATAGAGGAAAGTTATAAATTAATAAACAGGCATTACCACAATTCTTTTCTGTTGTAGCGTTAAATGTATCATATTAGAGGAAGATTCTAAACACTATAATTACACAGATCTATCAGTAGTAAACAGCAAAGTCAGAACAAGCGATCATAGTTCTTGGCTAAAGCAACACCTTGTTGTTGTTGTTGTTTTTTTTTAATTGTCATATTCTATAGTATCTGAAATAACCGACAGTCTTCTTTTCTGATTATTTAATGTTATCTTTTGTTCACTCTTAACTCATCAAATGTTTAGAAACTTATTCTGAGGAATATCATCAATGATATAGATAAAATGTCACAAAATCCATCCATAATCTCATTCATAAGAAAACACTGATGATTCTAGATAGTCTTGACGCAATAAAATTCTTGATACTTGTAATCTTATTGGTTAGTTATAACTTTGACCCATAACGTACTTACCTCATGATTTTTTCGGTATAAAAAAAATCAAACTTTCTCTGAGTAGTGGGATCCTTGGAAACCCATGTGGGACCCCTCCTGTCTCTCAGGAGCTTTTCCTATTTTCCATTCCTATTCTCCTATAAATTTTGCTACTCTTAAAAAAAAGAATAAATATTCTGCATCTCAGAATATAAATCTAGAGATGCTTCAGGATGAAAGTAGCTCTAATTTTTCAATTTCTAAATAAGCAATAAAACTAATCCTGAGATAATTACTTTAATACTAACAACTGGAGCCTGCAGATAAAAATAACTTAATTTTTCTCAGATAATCTCAGCTAGAAGTTATGGTAGACAGCAGAATTACAGTGACTCTGGATTGAATTGACATTGCCAAGCACTACTACCTCAAGGTGAGTTAATGAATGTAGTGAGAATAGGAAAGTTGAAATGTTAAATGTACTAAGTATTTTTTGCTCATGTATGTTATATTATCTAGCCTTTCAGTAATACCTTACTATAGTTTAAAAATACAATTAATAAATTATCATAGCATGGAATTAGTTATGAATAGTATTATGATATATATATATAGCATAAAGCGTTTTTTATAATTTTGAATATGAACCTTGTAGGAAAGGATGAGCGAATGTTTCATTTAAAATAAAAGTAATTAGAAAGCTTTTTTGGTTCAATGAAGTTTGACTTGAAAAAGAGATCGTGATGGGAACAATGAAGTGACTAATGGTGGCATCTGTACCTACCAAAGAGCAGAATGGACATACAAATCTATTGTTTCGTTTAGTGGACAGATTTCTCGAGTGTTACTTGAGAGAATGGGATCAAAGAGCACTTTATATTGATTTGATACTGAAAATAAAATAAAACTGCATGCACAGAGTCAAATTGTTCTACTTATCTTGGAAAATTTAGTTAATCCAATCACGTGAAAAAATCAAACATAGCTAGAGTTTAGTTTATCTTGCCTTATTGAATTGGTGTAAAGTTTCAGCTAATTCAGCACAGACAACTTCTGGAGCTCTGGTATATAGCATTCTGCTTAACTAGTAGAATTTCTTTTTCATGTTTGTATAGAAATATTTATCACTAGCATTATAGCACTAATTATATTATACACATACATAGGGTTATAAAGCACATTAGGGACTTTTACTTTGTGTTCATTTGAATTTATTACTTTTCATACACTAAAGAAATTAAATTGATACACTTTTCTCCATTAACTTGGAATATTACACTGTATACTTAAAATTTTATTAAGAGCATCCCATATTATTTATTCTTACCTCAATTTAAAAAAGTAATTCATTTTCATATTTTAAAATTTAGTCGCTGATTTTTATTTTATTTTTATTTTATTTTTATTTTGTTGTTTTAGAGTCAAGTTCTCATCATGTCCAGTTTGATTGTGAACTGAATACACACACACACACATTCAAACTTTCTCTGTTCTTGCTATTTCAATCTGCACTTTGAGGTGGTGAAAGATTAAAGGGAGTGGGGGTTAACATACACTAAACTTAGAGAGATAGTAGATAGTTGTTTTATAAAGTCCTAATGACAATCTTAAAAAAAAAAAAACTCTAGTATTGTTCCTATTTGAGGGTTTAGAAAACAAATTAGAGACGTTTATTAAATTAAATATTGACTTGCTTTATTTTTGAGGTATATTAACTCGTACAAGTTTTAACTTGTACATAGATACACTATATATGCTCAACATTGCAGTGTGATCTTTAGTAAATTTATCTCAAATGATTTTTAAAAGCTTTCCAGACTTTATATTATTACTTAGTAGTTAATGGAACAGACTCAGAGACATTCAATTACCTATGAGAAGCACCAACCATCCTCAGATTTAAAAATCCAAGCTCAGTGCTACTACAGTGCTTGCCCACAGTATAGACAGCTTCAATGTACAGAAGTACTTAATGGGATTTCATATGTCAAAACGTTCATAAAGTTCATATATATACACATATATATGACTTGAACAATTGAATTAGAGCTTTCTAAATGAATAATTATGGATTTTTAATTGAAATAATTAAATATAAATAGTATAAAAGAAAATAACTTTGAAATATGATTCGAGATTATTTAAAATCCTTAAAAATACACTTTTTGCTATTTTAACCAAGTAGTTGTAGACGAGAATGTTTAGAAGCAGTGGTGAATATTTTATAAAAATATTTAGTAGCTTTATTAGGCTTCACAGAGAGCAGCACGTTAGATGATAAAAGACTTCAAATCTCTGATTAGAAAGATCTTTCTTGAGAATAAAACTAATAATTGTCACGATTAATTACCCCGACAAGCATAATTCTGCTCAGGAACAAGTCAGTGGCCTTGAAAATGTGCCGCTAAGACCACCAGCTGCTGAGAGTAGAGTGACCAGTGACCGACAGCTGCAGCTGCCCCAGGAGAGTTCAGTACCACGCTGCCTAAGATCTCATTTCCTGCTAACAATCACGAGGGAGGACGGGACAGAAGTACTTCTCCAATAGGAGCTTTGGGCTTAAGGCTTCCCCCTTCGTCTGCCTGAGATTTTCTCAGAAGTGCTTATCATCTGCCTCTATCTATGCAAGAGATCTCCCTCTACTTTTGTTTCAGAGACGTGGGACCTGCATTGCAATCTGTGGGATCCTTGCCTGCTGCTACTCCCCATACACCTTTATTATTCATCTGCATCATTTTTTTTTTTTTTTTACCCCAACGCAGTGTCTGTGCTGTAGAATGACTAAAGTAAAACCCCGGATTAAAAATTAAAATCATACATGAAAGACGGTAGGAGATGACTCAAAAGTGAGCTGTTTTAATTTTATTTTGAACATCACTTCCTAAAGCCATATATTGAAGATAATCTACTTCAAAGAAATTTCAATAAAGTATCTACAAAGTTGTCTTAGGAATCAGTTGTTTGTTATGGTTTAGAAGTGAGGTGTCCCCAAAAGCCTGCTGTGTTTGGAAGGTGACCGGATTGGGGAAGTACTGTCCTCATTGGTGGATAAGCGCACGGCTGATACTAGCTGACTCGCTGTTGCCAATGGGGCCTGGTTAGAGGCAGGTCATGGGGAGTATGACCCGGAAGCGTTTGTCTCCCTCCCCGGCTGGCTTCTCCTTCCTTCCTCGCTTCCATGGCCACCGTGACATGAGCAGATTCCTCTCCAGCAGGCCCTTCCTTCCTGCTTTTACTACATTTGTTCTTGCCAGTCGTGGGCTGCAATTTCTGAAAGTGTAAGTGGAACTGAGGTTTTCTTCCTTTAAACTGTGAGTGCTGGGTATTTTGTTCTGGCAGTGAAAAAGTGACTAAAGCAGTGTTTGTATTCAACCATGTGAAAAGTACAGGATTCTCACAGGTAAGAATCATCAAGGGGAAAAAAAGTCCAAACTTTCAAACTTCTAAATTCAGAGTTGCTTAGTGTAAAGGTGGCCGAGAGAGTTAAAGAAAAAATAACGAAGGATGATTCCCCTCCCTTCACAAGATTTACTCTTCTGCTCAACAGAAGAGAGATGCTCATAACTTACTGCATGCCTATATAAACTTTATCAATGAAGTTGGGGTGGAAGAAAAATTTATCATCAGGGTCGCTTTTAAATAGAAGTTGATTTTACTGTTTTACTCAGGAACAAAAACAGATTTTTGTTTTTTTAGGAAACATTCAAAATCATTTCATCAAACATGATCATGTAATAACTGTAAATTGGACATAAAACTGTACCTACATAAATATGCTAATTCCCCTTAGGAACTTGTTATTGAATATATTATTTAATGGAATTATTTCAAATGTTAAGTAACATTTATGGAATTCTTGTACGTTACTTTGATTTTACTTTGTGTATTTCTTCTTAAAACAGAAACTATTGATTTAGAATTATATATTCAATTATTAATACTAAAGGTGTTATTTTTAATTCAACCAGCAGAGTACAGAATATTGAAAATTTTAAAAAAAGCAAACAGACACCAAATTCCATTTTTCAATAAAATTATGAATTATTTGCCTTTAAATATAAATTTCCCAATGATTATATGATAGACAAATCTGCACAGTCATAAATTATCGTGAACGATTAAGGATATCAGTGAGCCCAGCTTTCCCTTGGCGAAGGTGTCTCCTCTGGCAATAAGAACAATAAAGCAAGGCCAAGCATATTTCTGTTTCTGGACAAGGACAAGCAAAGCGTAGATAGAGGCATACAATTTCGGCACCACTTTGCTAACCAAAAGTAACATACCACAGCAGTATTTCTCTGGACCTTTTATCTCTAAACCCCTCACTATTTTATTTTACTCTTAAACTCATCAAATGTTCTTCTTGCCTCTATTACCTGAACAACACTGCCATGAAAATTACATAGAAAAAGGTGGCTTTTTCATTGAGCAAATTTTATTTGAAATCTTCTCCTCCAAGGATATGGTTTACATACTGCTATATGGGAATATTTAATTTGTGTAACATAAAAGTAAATGAGGTGTCATGTCTATTGAAACTTTCATGTAAATCCCTATAGCATGTTTTGATGTTCATTGCATTTGATACAGTGTTGTTATCAATGCACAGAATCAGGAAAAAAACATGGCAGGTCTAATTTCTTAAGCTTTCAACGTGGTCTTTGACAGTGTCTGTTTATGAAAAGATCACAGGATAATATGACCCAGAGAGAATGAAAGATAATTGAGCAGATTAGTTGAATTTCACATAAGCATAGGTACATCCTGAAGAAATTCTGTATCATGTCAGATACCACTATCTACTTGCAGTCATTATATCTGAAATAGTCCTCTATTTATGCATGATTTTCTCAGTCAAACAAATTGAAGTCCTTTAGAGGGAAGCAATAAAAAATAAAATCTAAGGTTCAGATGAGATTGGCATCACTTTTGCCTAGAATGATTTGATTACATATACTTGAAGATTCTGACATGCTTTATCTAGAGGTACATCAATACGCTCTGACAGGATAAAATTTTAAAACAATGTAAAGTGCAAGTGTACCATTTATATGCTGTGCACACATCCAGATTTTGATGGTATAATGCTTTCAGAATTTGAAATCATAAAATATTGCTTCAAATCATTTCTTTATAAGCAAAAATTATATCAAATCCAAATTATGTGAAATAATGTTATCAATGCAGTCTATGAAGAGTTTTATAATTTTGTTAGGCCTATTTTATTTGAACCTGTTTCCAGTCAGTGTCTTATAAAAATAAATTCTACAAGACCTTGTTTCTATAGTAACTAATAAATGCTGCATATTTATTCGTGGATACTAATGATAACTTTGAAATGGGATGTATGCTTTTAAATAATTTATAAACCTAAACTTAGGAGATAACTATGAAAGATCTAGAAACAAAACAAAAACAAAAACTAAACTAATCATATATAATCAATTGATATTAAAATACATAAAAGTTAAAATAAAATAAATAGAATCACTTTGTCCAGTTTGTTTATTTGCTTATTTATTTGGAGACAAGGTTTGCTATGTAGTTGGAACTGGCCTTGAAGTCACTCTGTAGCCCAGGCTGTCCTTCAACTCATGGCAATCCTCCTGCCTCAGCTTCCTGAGTGCTGGGATGTACCACTGTCCAGTTTATCATCCAGATAAAATGAAGCTGAAATGGCTAAGGACAGATCAAGGATTATTATAAAAAGAGTGATAAAATGTACTAAATTTTTTTCCATGCAGCGTGTGATGTAAAATTGGCTGTAATAAAATTAGATAGAAATAGAAACAACAAATAGGGTATCAAAGGTTCCTTAGGATTTTATAAGAAATGGCCTTTATTGTAGCTCTGTACATGTGTTAAAAGATAATTCTGAATATTTTTATTAAAAGCTTTCAGTAATTATGGATATTCTGACTCAATCCATTTTTGATGCCAAATATTAGTTAGACTCTAGATATCTTCAAACATAGTGTTATTAACTGAGGAAAATGAATAATCATAATAGCTAATTTTCTGATAAATTGCTGAGACCTACTGAACAATCCTTGTGTCCAGTATCCTTCTGGATGACTCTGAAAAGGTGTACGAACATCAGTGAATTCAGAGTAAAACAGAATTTGCTGTCTAATGTGGGTGGTTCTCATTCAGTCCACTGAAGAAAATAAAAGTCAGGGCCGGGGATTTAGCTCAGTGGTTCCACTGCCACCTGCTTTGCGAGCACAAGGTCCCAAGTTCAATCTCTGGTACTAAGTAAATAAATGACCAGAGGGTGACTTCCTCTGAGAAAGTAAGAATTCTAACATATGACTCCATTTGAACGCCAATAGAACTCTTCTCCTGACTGACAGTCTCTCCTATCAGTTTTGGTCTTACCAGACTCTTATTTATATGAGCCAGTTCCTTAAAATTGCTCACTTTGCTTTGCCGCATTTTACTGTGTCTTCTCTATCTCTGTTATCTATATTTTTCATCTAAATACACACATGCACACACACACATATATTCTGAACATTGCTTTTGTTTCTCTGGAAAATCCTGATGAATATACATGTAATTAAAGAGGAATACTACTGTCAGAAACTAGATTTCAGCAGCGTTTTGATGCAATTAATATTTAAACATGCGGGGTGTTCGGGAGGCTAGATAACAGTTGCAGGCTGGAATGGTTTGGAGATGCGTATCAGGAAAAGCCTGCGTAGCCTTGCCAAGGCTAATGTGTTCTGAGGTTTGTGGAATTCGTATCACATCGTTTCAGACATTGTTTTTCAGGGTAATTTAATTATCTGATCTTTTTAATCTTTATTTTTATTAGTGAAGTAGTTTAGAATATTTCCAAGCAAAGTGTTGAAGACATGCCTTTGTATATGCTTACTCTTGGTAGTAATGTAAAAGCATAATTATAAAAAAAAAACAGGAAGCAGAACTTGAAGATTTGGAAAATTCTCAACCTTCCCTAACTATATATAAAAAAAGAAAGATGCTGGAGAATAAACAACCTGACTCTTGTTTGTTTGTTTGTTTTGTTTTTTTTATGAAGCGATTAGTGGTTTGACCCCTGAATGCAATCTTCTGTCTCAGGTGAAGTCAGGAATATAAGGTCTTATAAGCAGAAACCACTTCCAGCTTGGACACACACAGCGTAGGGAAAAGTGAAGGAAAATTGTTAGACTTGGGAGATTGTAGAAGATGAGACAATAAAACTATCTGGACTTGAAATTATTTTACTCTTCAAGAAAAGTTAAGAATAGTCTTGAAGGTGATTGAAAGGTTTCTAGAGTCTCCCTCTGTCACCTGCTCTGAAACACAGAGCACAGATATAAAGCCCAGGCTTCCTTCTCCTTGGTTTTGGAGATCAGGGGCATTCCCTGCTTCGGTTTGCCAGGCTACTGCCCAGGTCCAGTGTATGACAATGCTGCCACCTCCACAGGCCCACGTGCAGAATGCAGGGCAAAGCAGAATGTGCAGTTATTCTTGAACCTTATAATGGAAACTTCCCTGCTGATTTTTGGGCCTATGAGAGAACCATGATCTATTTTTGCTTTTCTGTTTGTCCTTTTTAAAATGGGAACACTTATCTCGCAACTTTTTGAAGTGTGTATTTTTTCTGGATGCATAGGTTCACAGCTGGAGAGGAAATACCTTCAGAGGGAGTCATAGCTCGTCAAGATGAGACTTGGGAATTCAAGTTGATGCAGAATTGTTTGTGACCTCTAGACTGTTGGGATGGAAATTAATGTATTTAGAATTTGGGAACGGCCTGAATTATGGGAGTCCAGAGGCCAAAGTGTTGTGGGTAGGAGAGCGTATTTCTAATTCAGATGTGGAATTTTTACCTCCCAGTACCTCCCAGTATAACTGCTTTGGAAATAAGAACTTTAATAAAGTAGTCATGAAGCTGATAAAATGAGCCCTCCGTCTGACTGGAGCCCTTATAAGAAAAACATATTGACCACGTAGACATAAGAAATGTTCACAAAAAAAGGGAATCTAGGTAAGAGCCCTGAGAAAAATGTCATGTTCAAGTGAACACTTGATCTTAGCCCAAAGGCCGAGAAGCCATCGTATTCAAGTAAAGAACAAAACTATTAGACGAAACCACCTCCCCATGCATTCATCATGGGCTACTAGCATCCAAATCTATGAGAAGTACATTTCTGTTGCTCATTACGCCCAGACTATAGCAGTTCCTTGTCCTAACAAATGAGGACGGCAATCATAAATTATCACCGTGGTCACTACAAACTGCAAACCAAGGTGGCTTTTTGTTTGTTTGTGGACTTACCTGATGGAAATAGTCAACGAGAAAAAGAGACTGCAATTTAAATGTAGATTTGATAATATTAAAATTATTCTTTATATTCAAATTAGATAACTAAGAATTCAAAGAAATATAAGGAAGTATCAAGTTACACCATTGAAAATGTAAGTAGACTTCAACTTGAGCGGTAGTATTTATATTGGAGATTATAAAGTTATTATAGAAGGGTGGCATATGAACAACATATTTCTAATCTTATCGCGGACGTTGCTGAGGAAAGTTTTTCTTTTCAAAGAAACATCACTTGATAAGCTTTGAATGAAACCAAAGAGGATTGCATTACCTTTTACCTTACACAGAAAAGGATTTCTGTGATTCTTAAGAAAAGTTTTCCTTAGAGGAAATGTTTTAACTTCCCTCAGCCTATAAATCAGACAATTGGCAGAACTCCATATATAATTATTCTAGTGAATACTAAATAAGAATTATTTTACTGTGGCATTTGTCTCAGGGACATTACATATTATCAGTCAAACTTTAAATTGTTTTGGCAGCTAATGGGAAGACTGCATAAATGAAAAATGATGCAAAGTGGGATACTTCAAAAAAGATCAAATCTTGCTAGTAAGAATAGAAATAAAAGAAAAAAATCGCACATATTTTCTTTGAGAAACTGTGGTCAAGTCAGTTAAATATTTCCACCAATTCATACTTCATCCATCTTCTTTTTATGTATTTTTTCCCTTTAATAGGAAGTTTACTGGAAGAAACCTAGTGAATATGGTAAAGGAAAATGTGGTTTGGAACTTTAACAAGCTTTTCACTAAAGTTAGTCAGCTGACACACCATACAATCACATTCAGTCCAGAAGTTTAGACCAAGGATGTAGGAACCTCTCATTGTATGATTAACGAGCTCACTACCAAATATCACTTTAACATATTAACCAGGTATGGTGGTGCAAGCATGTAATCCCAGCACTGGGGTATTTAAGTGCGCGCGCGCACACACACACACACACACACACACACACACACACACACAAAAGTTGGAGCCCAGACTGGGCAACGTAGTTTTAAACCATTTCTTCTTCCTGGGATGTCATACCCCTAGCCCATGTTCTTGTTCTTTCATGTCTTTGCTGCTGCTATATTCTTGAATATGTCAGAATTTTGCCAGCAGTGTATTTAAGTCACAGATTAATATTTTCTCTCGAGTAGCACATGAAAAATTATGAATAATAATTTTAAATATGTTTGATTTTTTTTCAGCTAATTGATATGACCAATAACTTACACAGAAAGAGACATAACATGGCAGAGGAAGTAAAAGGGGAACTTAATACTTGTCAAACAAGCCTAATACTTGAAAGAAGAGTGGTGTTTCACTGATGAAATTTAAGTAACTGATTGTATTGAGACCGAAGAGTTGGTGATAAGGAATCCATTTCCATGAATGATTGGGGAATTGCTGACTTGTACTACAAGAGAAAATATGAAGCTACTTTTCAAACTGCTTGTTATTCATCAAGTCCACATACAAAGGTTTGTGTGTGTGTGTGTGTGTGTTTTTCCCAGCAAATGGTTGTAATGTAACTCATGAGGGTTGGTAGTATGAAGTGCACATCTTTCATTTTGTGGAAATAATTAAAATATCAAATCAATAAGTTCACTAATTTAAAAAGGGCAGAACAGATTAGCTGGATTAAAAAGTGTATATATATATGTATATATAGTAATCATTTTTATGAGGAAATAGAAACAGACCCTCTGCTACCTGTGCAGGTGCAATAACGAAAAGGCTAGTGAAATGTTACAGAAATAAGATTATTTCCAGCAGTCAGAGAAGGGTGTGTTATCAGGAGGAACAGTATTACCAGCAGTATTAAGTGCTACCAAGTTGTTATAAAGATTCATAAAAGCAAAGTCCACTGGATTTTATAATTAAAAGGAAAGCAAACAATTTCAAGAAGACAGAAATACCGTTTCTTGCCCGTGATTTGTTTAGATAGTGAGTAAAGGGGAACATGTTTTCCTTGGACAGAATACATAGTCTGATTTGCCAAATTAATAGGAAAAATAAATGGATATTTTGAAAGTATACAAGTTATGATAAAAAACTAAGGTAAATGCTTATATTTACATTTTTTACAGTAAAAGACACATTGTCATTAATCATCCTCAGAATGTTCCCACTTCGTTCAAACACTTATCCCATCATCCTTACACTTTCCCCAAAGCAGAGGAGGAAGTCTCTTTTTTGTTTGTCTTTTGCTGCGCCGTCATGGCTGCCTCAGTCTCCTAAATCTATTCAAAATAGTTAATATTTCATGGTCATTTTGATGATGAGGGAGAAACCAAAGTGGTGCAGTGCCAGATCTAGTGAATGAAGCGGATGAGGACGCACTTGATTTTATAATCCTCTCTTTTTTTTGTGTAACACTGACCGGCAGCATTCATCAAAGTTTGAGCACACTTCATAAAGACATTCATGAACGAGGACTTCCAAAACTGCTCCAGAACGTGGTAAGGATGATGAGATAAGTTTCTTCCAAGTGCAAGGGAATATTCTGATAGGGGTTAGGGACAATGTGCCTATTTACTGTGGCAAAGTTTTAAGAATTTAAGCATTCACTGTATTTGTCTATTACAGTCTGTGTTTTTGAGCTCTGACTGTTTAAACAAATACAAAAAAATAAAGGTGGTAGAAGATAAATGGCCATGTCTTACTTCATTTTGTATTAATACCTCTTGCCTATAATTTTCTTCAACGGCTTGTAATTTTAAATTATTTATTGTTTTGTTGTTCATACGATATATTCTCATTTCAAACTTTTGTACAATGTGTAATTGTACGGTGGGCAGGACAAATCCATTCTTATAATTTTACAGAATTTTATTATAATTGTCCATTTTGTATAGTCTCAAGAAATGTACATTAATGTGTGCCTTTGATGAGTGACAGGACTCTGCTGACTTGGATACGCTCTAGATTCATCCAGATTATAAGTAGATAAGGTTGTTTTAAATAACTGACAAAAAAGCAAAACCATTAGTAGTGGAAATTTGTTAAATAATTTTTATCCTTGGTCAGAGACTAGAGCACTAAAGATAGCACACTAAGATAGTGTATTGATATAAATAAGTTACATAAAGTGATGACATGCATGGCAAAGTTTGTAATATAAAATTAGCATATTAATAATTCTAAAATATACTTCAAATTATTTATTATTTTAGCTAACTATACAATCTTTAATAACGACACCATTTCTTTAAAAATATTGAACAAATAATTTTATTATTGTTTACAAAATCTTTGTTTTATAGAGCACTTTTATTGCTAACTTCTGAAAACATTAATGAATATGCTTGGTCTTATGGTCTTATGCACATGAAATAACCTTGTGTTGACAGCATAATAATACTGAAGAAAAGCTTTTAAAATAATATCAATTTTCCATAATACATCATGCACAGTGAATGGTAATCAGGTGTTCTACATAATGATTCTTGATGTAATCTTTTCTCTTTTCTTTCATAGCTTTTTAAAGTGATGCATCATCAAAACATCGTGTTTTCTTATAAGCTTCAAGAAAAGGAAGGTTAAAAAAAAAATCTCATGACCTTCTCTACAATTGGCCGAAATTTTCATGCTTTTCACTCAGTCTCCATTAGTCGAAAGTGGTTTTAGCTAGCTGTACTCAAGCATTTCAGTCAATTACTAGCTTTTATCTTGTTGTTATCATAAAGGGCCATTTCTTTCCTAAAATGGTCAATTAAGTTCATAAAATAAATGTTGAGGCATATAAAATTTGTTAGCTGTACTGTCGGGAGTACACTGGTCTTGGGGAAAAACATTTCAGAGTATTTCTTAATGAATAGAAATAGCTTTCATCCCACAAGATGTTTGTTCGCATTTCTCTTTTCTCTGGCTTCAATTCTGTTAACAACACAGTAATTGTGTATTGGAAAGCTCTTAAAATACCCACCTCCTACTTTTAAAAGAATCCTCTGTTTTTGCTTAACTATTCCATTTGTGTAAAGTGCATTTTGAAATAAATTGAGGTAGGAGGTTTTACCTTGAAAACAACAGAAAAAGATTCATTTTTAAAATTTTGACAATAACTTTAAGGAATAAAGATTTGGAGTAACTTAAACAGAATGGTAAATTGAGAATTGTTACATAGAAGTGGAGAATTCATGAAATACAGGAGAAAGTGAGGGGAAGCAGATGCCTACAAGACATCAGGCTCACAGTGCTACCTTCGTTGAACATCTTTTGATTAATTGCTGCTTTTGTTCTTTTTTTTTTTTTGGTATTGGGGATCAAACTCTGGTCCTTGCGCTTACGAGGCAGGCCACCGAACCGCTGAGCTCAATCCCCGGCCCTCTGCTTTTGTTCTTAAGTAAAAGGCATTTACTATGTGTCACACTGCAGGAGCAATTGATATTCTAGTGCTAACAGGAACAACAAATTAAATCATGTAGTATAACATCTTCTAGTCTTGCCAGGGATATGCAGTCCATAAAGGTGAAATTTGAATAGTGTTTTTCTGAATTATGTGCTAGAAATGGATAGTTGGAAGTAACTCCTTCTAGGAAAAAAAAATGTAGTTTTATGCATGCTTCCTATAGTGCTGCAAATAAAGATCCACAGATATTTTAGGAGGAAAAACTGTGACTTAAGTTTCCATTCTCTCAGTAACCACATCCAACGGAGTAGCAAAAAAATGTTACTGAGTAAAGCTACTGCAACCAACTAGTTTTTATTTCTCACTTTGCATTTAAAATCTCTGTTAGAATATTGATGAACCAAGATGACATTTAAATTCGGGTTACCTAGGCCAAGAGACATACATTTTTCTTCAAACAATAGTTTGACTACCACTGAAGGTATTTTTCTGATGAGATTAGCGTATGACAGAAGACTGAAAGAAGCAGATTACTCTCCATGTGGTGGGCCTCATCCAATCAGTTGAAGGCCTTGGGGGCAGTAGGATCAATATTAAGAAAAGGCATATTCTGGGATGTGTACCTCCCGAGTTTATTTTTTTAGGAGTATTTCTATTTGTGAATCATTAATTTTAATTCTATGAGTTTTATTATATCATGCAGTGTGTACTTGAGATATCAATAAAATGAAAGTTTTAATTTGTAACAAATGTCTAAAACAAATATCAACATCAACTCTTTATCTGCTTACAAGTTCTAAAAAGTAACAGTAGAAATAAGTTCCTGTGTGGAGTACAATGGAATAGTAACAGAATGCTACCACTGACATAGCATTTGCTTAATTATCGCACCTAAGGCCATCTTCGCACATGACGGCGTCCTGAACCATACACGCATCTCACTCACTCATGTGCTTCACTTTCCTTTACTGTTTGGCAGACTGTACTTGTCACTTCTGTTGACTTCCCCTCTTGTCAGGAGCTTCCTATAATATTGTACAATCTGCACTTAGCAGGAAAATGAATTGTCAATAAAAGAAACACCAGATATGGATAGTTAATATTTAGAATATCAACATTTCAAGTGTTCAGAATAAACATCAGCATGTTCTACATGAACTGTTTGTTTGCTTACTAAATCTGGAAAATAACAACAGAAATAAATTTCTATGTGAACTATAATGAGAATACAGATAAAACTCTATCGCAAAAATAATCCTTAGTTCCATTACCACACCTAAGGGAGTTTTCACACTTGAGAAAGTGTGTTCCATACACACAAGTATTGCTTATACTGATAGCACATGTATTTTATTTTCCTGTCTTCTCTGGTAAGGATTACTTGATATCTTATTTGTCTTCCTGTTTTATTAGAAGTTTCTTGTGATGTTTCACCTATCTGTTCACCCATCTGCCCCAGAATTCTTCTGTGGAGTTTTTTTTGCTTTGGCTGATACATACTGTTCCTCCTCTGTTGTAATTGATTATGTGTCAATTCCAGTCCCAATCTTCTGAAACGTTGTTCCATGAGATTTTATGTTCAGTATTTTCTTTGAAAACTACAAAGCTATCAATGGCTGACATGTTTAAGACCTAGTTAGATACAACCATGCTGATCAATGCGTTATTTTTCAAGTGACATGATAGTTGCTACATAACTCCTCAACAACTTTTCTGCCTTTCCATTTTTTGTAAAATGTGACCATTTCTGGATTCATTTGTGTTGAGGAATGACTATCTATCTTTTTTTGTTTTTTTGTTTGTTTGTCTGCTTTTTGGAGAAGGATTTCGTATGTAGTCAAGACTAGCCTTGAACTCACGAGGTAGCACTGGCTGACTTCCAATTTATAGGATCCTCCTGCCACAGCATCCGGAGTGCTGAGGTTATAGGCACCCACCGTCGTGCTCAGGTTCACTGTCTATGGTAGCATACGCAGTGTTGACAGTACCAGTGCTACTCTTTGTTTTGCTTTACCATATAGGAGGTCAATGTTATAACTTTCTGAAATCCAAAGATAGTCCTATACGTTTCTTTACTGTGAACTTGCAACATTTTTTTCACTAATCTTCATTTTGTCCTTTCAAATAGTTCCTGTGCAGGTCAACTGGTGTTTATTTTGTTGTTGTTGTTTTGTTTTGTTTTTTGTTTTTCGTTTGGTTTTTTGAGACAGGGTTTCACTATGTATTTGAGACGGACCTGGAACTCACTATGTAGCCCAGGGTGGTCTTGAACTCACAGCGATCCTCCTGCCTCAGCCTCCCAAGTGCTGGAATTACAGACATGAGCCACCACACCTGGCAAACTGGTGTTTTTTAAAGCAAATATAACATCAATGGGTAACTCATGTGACATTTGGGTTAATTTTTGAAATAGGTATAACAAGTCTGTGCACAATATCAGCCTAGTGGCTAAGTTCCAGGATAAATTTCTAAATTCAAGGTATAAAATCTCTCTGCACCTTCTAGGGTATATATTTTTACCCCATAATTCGAAGGTTTATTTGTTATATAATGCCAAAACTTTCAGCAATTATGAAATGATGCAAGTCGTTCATTAGTTGTCATGTATTGAGATGCTGTAAAATTGCTTTAATGGTTTAAAATAAAGCTTTCAAGAAGTGAGCAAATAGCAGCCCAATTGTTGGAGTTTTTTTTTCTTTTTTCTTTCTTGATGGGTCTTTTTTGTCCTAATAACATAAGCAAATTTGAAAGAAATAAAAATCTCTTGATTGTCATTATTATTCTAATAATCTCAGTGCCACATTTGTCACTTCTTCATAAATCCTTTGGATTCTGACAAGTAGAATGCTAAAGCCCTGCTATGAAGGCTTTTAGTTCAAATTGTGAGATGTCATGAAAAATATATTTTTGAGAATTGCTATTGGTATATATAGACTGTTCTACTTTTATTTCATTATTAGTGTATTTTGAAACATCTTGTAGCATATCGACTCTTACAAATGATTTCCAACATTGAATCACAGTGTTGACATTGCATCCAATAGCTTTTACCCCAGGCAAGAACCTAATAGCATTTTCTGCCCTAGTTTTAGCCTTGGGTCATAACCTTAGATGGTATACCTGAGCATTTGGTAGCATTTTCACTAGCAAATATTTGTTTACAGAACTATTTTCTTCCTCATCTGAATCAGTCTTCATTCTGTAACTCTCTATCTTTCCATGTCTTGCTAATTTCTTTGGCTAACATGTGATCCACATCAGCAGCAGCAGCCAAATCACCTGGTGATGACTCACTTTCAACCTCCTCTGAAATTGTAAAAGCAGATTTTCATGTGATGTTGTACTAAATTGGAATGATTTTGTGAGCAAAATCATACAAAAACATGTAATAAAAATTATAAATACACAGTACCTCATATGGGTAAAACTCACCCATTTACACTTTGACAAACTTGTACACACTACTGTTCATCATACCAAATAAGCAAACAGAGAGATCACTTCTTGTATTCCCCCAGGGCATCTATTGAAATACACAGCCAACTACTGTTATGCTAACGTACATATTTTCATTAGAAACAAGTGGTCAGGGTGTATTTTACCCTTCATGATGATAAAAGAAAAAAGATTGACCTCCCTTGAGAAAGAAAGAATTCTGCATTTAGAATCAAGCTGCAGCATTAACTTCTTAGATCTACAGCCTGCTATCTTGTCCTGCAGACATTGGAATCACCAGCTCCAAAACATCATGATCCAAAGCCTTACAATAAATGTATCATGGAAACAATAAACATTCTAACAATCCATATATGGAGCATACTTCTATTATATCAAGACTGTATTTCCATTTTGTTTAGCAATGTACAAGCACTATGTTTTAATCAGAACTCCTTAAAACATGTTTAAGGAAATGGAAATGTTAACTGCCCTGATTTAATTAAAATACTCTGTTTACATGACTCAAATGATCACAATGTAACTCATCAATTTGGGCAATTAAAATATAACAGAAGAGTATCTCACTTTCTCAGACCACGTGTCACTTAATGTGCACTGTGAAATATGGCAATACACAATTTCAGGATAGGCTGATGATCGTGGAATGTCATGGACAAATTAAGATGTACAGTATCACCAATCAATATTGTCTTTTGGGACACCATCATACATACAGTCTATAATTGACCGAAATATTGTTAGAAGTTTCATAATTGACTATGTGTGTAAGTATATTTGCGTGTGTGTGTGTGTGTGTGTGTGTGTGTGTGTGTGTGTGTATTTGTAGGGGTCTTTGTCTTTGGCAAAACCTGATTAACAGATTTTGCAACAAGTGTGATGGCCTAACAACCACAAGATAAAATCAATCTGTACTAGGTATGTTGTATTTGCAATTGAGATGTAGAAAAGAATATGTCACATACTAAAATGATTCAAACATATTGAAAATATTAATAATCTCATATCACTAGTGTCTATACATGTATGTATACCTATTTGTGATTTTTATTTTTTTGGTTGTTTTTTCATGAGTTTTGATATATTTTAAAAAGTAGACAATCATTGGGTAATTTAATTCAATGAATTGATGTAATTAAAATTCATGTTCAGAAGCAAGGAATAAAATAAGAATGGAAAGTGATGATTTTCTAAAGGAAAGTAAAGTATCTAAAATTTTCCTCTTTTAATTTAATTTAATTTTTAAAATTATTAGTTCATGTCTGCAGTGCATAATAATTATATTCAATGCAGGTAATTGGTATAAGTATATAATGCATTTCAATTCCTCTTTCCCCTTTCCAGTGAACCCCTCCATTTTGCTAGCTTCAGACTCCTATATTATGAGTCCTTACAGAGTTAATTATCACATACATATTAATAGGTCAAAACACGTAAAACTCATAAGACAAGTATAATAAATCATGGTAGTTTTCATGTACTTTGTCTGTACTGGATTATGATACCTTGTCTTTCTTCTCTTGATCTGATATTCAGCTTTGCTGTCTTACTCCTCAGTTGTATACTTCTCAACTCTATATATTCCCATCAGCTGCCAAAAATTTTTTTGAGTAAAATATGAAAATTTTTTTGCCTTAATGTTCCACAATTATGGAAAATGTCTTGTTCAATGTAAATTTGTTGTAAAAGGCCAAACTTCAACTATATCTTTCAACTCAATAATATTACCAGTATTTAATCCCCAAAAGATACTACAAGGTTCCAACAGAAAGTGTTTGATTAATTAATGATAAAATAGGATAGTTTTCTAAATTTAAGTGTTATTGTTATTGAAGTACACTTTTCACTTATAGAATTTCATCTTTATTTCTTTAGAAATTAATTTCATTTTGTTTTATGGAATTTTACCAACTAAGATATGTTTATCAGTGAGAAAGAAAAATGTACAGAGAATAAAAACACAGATATTACACGTAAACTTCAAGGATAAAATTTATTGAAGTTGAAGTTTGTCTTCATTTTACCATTTTATAAATGAAGCCTAAAATACAACCTTAAATATTATGAACAATAGGTAAATATATATCATGCAATTCATAGGCAGAATAAATAAGAAATGTAATTATTAACAGGAATACATTTAAGTTCAAAATTATTCAAGTTATTTCCATTTTGTTTAGCAATTAATTAATTAAAACATAATTTAATTGCAAGTATCAAGTGCTTCTCCACATATAAGAGTATTTGATTTTCGTGTTACAGAAAATAAAATGCCCTGTCTTTAAGTCTCCCTGATCTTTTAAAGAGATATCATGGCAAAAAGTAGAAAATGCAGTTTAGATACAAGATCAGAAAGCGTGAAAAGAAGAAACGACACTTCATATAGTTGATCAGTCATCCAAAACTGAAAAGTATCAGATTTTCTACATTCTGGAAATGAGTAACAACTTTCTTTTATTCACTTTTTTATTTCACGTAAACTTTTGTTATTGGCTTCACATTCAATATTAGATTATTTTAAATAGATGAAATCAACTCTAAAAATAAAATAGATTGGTTTTTGCCAAAAATATAGTAAAGGTTTTAAATATCTAATCAGAATGACTCATAATCATTCCTTCTTGAATTTAATAAAGGTAGCTTTTAAAAATAACTGATTTTATGATAACTAATAATTTATTTCAGACATTTTTATTTTGGTAGCTTTTAACAACATAAGCACAAGTAATTTTGGTTTGCCTTTTTTCATATAGTCAAAGAAGGACTGAAGGCTGATGACCTTAGATGTAAGATCTAAGAATAGAAGGTTAATTTTTCTTTTACAATGTTTCTTTTTTTCTTTTGGTTTGATTAAATGTTTATTCTACATAAAAGACCAGAGCTTCAAATTAAATATATATATTATTCAGGTTAAATTATCTTGACATGGAAGTGCATTAAAGATGTACAGCTGTAATTTGAAATATCTAAATAAAGCTCTCTGATCTTAAGAGAAATGAATGTTATGTTTTAATATAAAGCAAAAATTCACTAAATCAATTTACATTTACAAGGTAAAAGTGTGAAAAAGTTCGATAAAGCTTCAAAACTGTGAAAGTTTATATAATAAATATTTCCTTATTTGTGCATATTCTATCCTCTACATTTAAACATAACATATTGAAGTGGCATACTTTTCACATATGTTCTCTTGGAAAAATAAAAGTGATAATTCAAATGAATGCTTTCACCATGTAAACACAGATGAAAAGAGAGCTTAAAATGTAAATACAAGCCATATTTACCACATGTGATATTGACATTCTTGTTTCTTTTGTTAAGTGTCTTGATATCTTCATCTATCTGTCTGTCTATTTACCTGTCTACCCAACTGGCCATTGAGCAATTAATGAGATATTTATAAAAAATAGAATAATAAGAAATAGAGAAATATAGCAGCATTCATCCTTTTAACAGAGTTGTAGAGTTTTACTCCTTTCGTGGCTGTGAAAGTTGAACCAAGGTCTCTGCAAAAAGCTATGACTCCAGTCTTTTTATTTTTATTTTAAACAGGGGCTCGTGATGTGGCTGAGTTACCCAGGGTGAACCTGAACTCCCAGCCCTCCCACTTCATCTTTCCAGAGTGCAGGTATCGGAAGGACGAGCCCCTGCACCCAGCTTGGCAAGACTCATGAGGTGCTATCATGAAAGTGTAAATGTGATGAACTAATGGGCTTATTACAACCAAGTTAAAAATAAATTTTTCCAGCGCCCTAGCAGCCTCATTAGTTTGGCAAATTACATGAATTTCAAAGGACTCACATTCGTTACAGGGGTTAGAGAGTAGGTATTCCTGTAGGGAAGGATTTGATTAGTCTTCTCTGGCTGTAGTAACAAAATACCACATACTCAGTAGCTTGAAGACTAAAAAGCCATCTCTTGGCTGGGGATATTAGTAGTCCGAGATCAAGGGCATATCAGAGTTGGCTTCTCCTGACACCTCATTTTTTGGTATTTAAGTTGTCATCTTCTGTTTGTGCTCTCCTGGGTTTTTTTGTTTGTTTATTTTTTGTTTTTTGTTTTTATGTTCATGCATGGTGTCTTGTCTTCTTGGAAGGGCACAGAACTATGGGATTGAAGATACCGGTACAACCTCCTACCACCCTGATTAGCTCTGTGAAGGTCCTACCTCTAGATCCACTCACACTCTGCGATCGGCAAGGATTGAGATTTCAATAAATAAAATTGGGGCAGGGGCCGGGGATTTAGCTCAGCGGTTCGGTTCAAGCGCAAGGACCCGAGTTCAATCCCCGGTACCAAAAAGATAATAATAATAAAAATAATAAGAATAGACAAATAAATAAATGGGAGTGGCACAATTGATTTGAGAGATTAAGAACAAGCTTCGAAGTTCTTTGCAATTTTCTGCAGAGATCACATGGATTCTCTTTTTCTTCCCACTTCAAGTCTTCTCACCAGAAAGGCTCTCTCAAGTCTTAGAGTTCAGAATGTTTAAACTGACCACATGATCAGACGGGCCCCAGACAAGGCACCAGGTTCCCATTATGGAAATTTATGTTTACTTTAAACAATGCTGACAGATTGCTGCATCCTGATGTATGGAAAACATTGTTTCAGATGTGCAGAAAACAGCAGCTAATCCCTCTGCTGGGTATCTTTCCAAAAGAATTAAAAGAATCATATCACAGTGATATATGCACGCCTATGTTTATAGTGGCACACTTTGTAATAGCTAAAACTTTGAAACAGCCCATTTGCCCCTCAGTTGGAGAATGGATAAAGAAGATGTGGTTTTTCTATAAAATGGAATATTACTCAGCCATAAAGAATGAGAAATTAGAGTTATTCATAGTAAAATGAATGCATATTGAGGATATATTCCTAAGTGAAATATATAAGCTACACATGTATAAATACTAAATAGTTACTCTGGTGTGAAAAACTGTAATTGTATGCAAGATCCTAATGGTATAATTGACAATGTGAAATAGGAAGAAAGGGCTAAAGGTGTGGGCGAAGTGGGAAGGGTAGGGGAAAGGTAATCAGGGAAAAATATGAGAAAATGAAAAAATGGAAATAAAGTATTTGTAAATAGGGAAGGGAGGAGGGGGTGAAGGAAGGGCAGGGGTATGGGGAAAAATGAGAACCAAGACCTGTCATGTAAAGGTACAAGATCCCAGTGATGAATGTAACTGTACTGCATACCTAAAGTGTACCAATAATCTCAATGAGAAAAAAAAAACAAAAAACAAAAAACAAAAAACAGCAGCTTAGCGCCTATTATAGAAGTTCTTTTCACAAAGAGCCACTGCCAGGGTTCTAGGAATTGCTGTGTAGTAATAAAATAATGTACAGAAACAGCCTTGCTTTATTCTTTCTTTGTGTATTTAGATGTATAGACATTAATATACAAAGTATTTTTAATAAAATGACCTCATTGATCAACAACTTTAGATAACTAGAAACAACTTTTACAATAGGTCAAATACTCAGTTTTCAATAGATGGTAATGTTGTTAATTGTTATTTGAGGTGATAATATGCTTTCTTAATTTTCTACAGAGAAAATAAATTATTGCTTTGTTCAGCAAATACTAGCATTACAATAGATTGGAAACAGACTGGAAATTATTTATTCCATCTGTGTTTTAAAAGTTATCTCTATTTCATACACATGCTTTTCTTTATTTTTTTCTTGGCAGTTCAGTGTATGGTGCCAAACTATGAAGAAAGTTCTAGCCATCTTTATCCTTTCTGTATGAGCCACAATAATGGGGATTTGTTTTATATGCATTTTGCATTACATAAAAAAATCCTCTCTCACCAACCTCTCATTATGGTTATAATCTGTTTTGAAAATGATTTCATGAGTGACTCTTCTGTTTGTTGTTTGTTTGTTTGTTGTTTTTTGTTTTGTTTTTTGTTTTGGTTTTGGTTATTTTTTTTTTTGAGACAGGGTCTCACTATGTAGTTGTGATTGAACTGGAACTCACTATGTAGCCCAAGCCGTCTCAAACTCACAGCAATCCTCCTGCCTCAGCCTCCTGAGTGCTGGGATTACAGGCGTGCACCACCACGCCTGGCTATGAGTGACTCTTATTATGAACAAGAGGTAATGGAATCAAAAAAGTTAATTCACTGTGTAAAAAATGTGCACTAAAGCATGTCTGTTGGAGGTTTACTTTAAGTACTACCTGCCTGCTTCTGCCACTCACTTCGTCTCGCTCGGTGTGGATCTTTGAGAGAAAGGGTGCTCCTTGTGCCTCCTCTATTGACTCATTCTTCCAAGGACTGGTTCTTAGATGAGAAGCAAGGGAGAAAAATGACTTCATTCTCTTGACAGTGGTTGAAAACTGATTTGGCGGTCAGGAAAGCCAGAAGCTTGTACTAAACCAGGCCTAGAAAAGGGAGTTGCCCCAGCATGAAAATGCTTCCATAACTCTTATTGCCTAGGGATAAAGTCAGAACTCTTAGTGTGACATGGACGTTCCTTGCTATGTGTCTCCCCGCCCACTTTTTCTGCCCCTTCTCTGACAGTGCCCAATACACAGACGATGCTCCAGTCTTGACATATTTCTGTTTTCAATATGTTCCAACTTTTCTTCAATTCCATGCTTTTCAATACTTCTGAAATTCTAAGTCCACCTAATGAGCTTTCCCATGTGCAATAAAATGTTACGTGCTGCAGAAAGATCTCTGCGACTGTTGCTGACTTCTGTTAGTCAAGGATGTTGTCTTCATTCAAATTTAGAAGGAGTTACTCTACCAAACACTCAATTATAGTGCTCTGCAAGTTTATTCTCATATCTCCCAGTACACAGTTACTCCCAAAGACCTCGCTTTGCATCTGTCTTTCTCCGATGCCTATCAGAGTTGGCTGTATACAATATGTTCCGTTACTTCTTAGTCACATCCTAAATGTGTGGAAGTAGATTTATTTACTAGATTTCCTTCATGACAACTAACCAGTGTACAGTAATAAAGCAATGGTACTTTAAAATAAGTTTAAAAAAACTCAAAGTTACACATATTTTTCAAACTGTGGAAAGTTGAAGTTGCTCCTCAGTGAACGAAAGATTAGGCTTCTCCTTTCCTCTTGCTAGGAAATGAAATAAGACACAAAAGTTCAGAACATTGTTCATTTCACAGACTGACATTTCTGTCCTGCTCACTAACTTCTTTTTTTCACCTAGGAAACTGGAGTAGTTTTTTTTTTTTTTTCAAATCACACAAGTATAGAGTGATATTGAGAAAGTAAACTTTATGTTATACATTATTTTCTGTGCTGTTAACCCTAAAGTTCTTGCAAAAGATGGTCTTTAAATGTGACTCTTCCTTCCTTTCTGCACTGAAAGGATAATCAAACACATGACAAATCTCTTCAATAAAACACAACTTTATCATTTTAAAAAATGGTTACAGAAAGGCCACAGAGAATACTAAGAAATGGCTAACACAGTACAATTATTTAAATATATTTACATAATCAGAATATTTCTTAAAAGGAAATTGTTGTAGAAGAGTCAGAAAGTTTAAGATGTTTCAAACAAAATATTCTACTGAAATGAGTTTTTCCATTGTTAATTTTACTGAAAATTCTGATGATGTTTATTGAAGAACAGCATTTTTTATTTAAACAGATTTTATTTTGGCTAATGAATGAGATACTGCAAATTTCTTGTTAACTAGAATTGGATATTTTGAAGAAATTCCTAAAGCAAAAGTCTACTTCTCATAAAATAGAAAATAAATCTAATTAATAAAGGAAAATGGACAGCATTTTATAGGTAAAAACCCTCTAAATGCAAAAAAAAAAAAATCCTATCATTTACTGGTTGAGAATGCTTACATTAACAAAATATTTAGGTTGTCAGTTCAGTCTTAAATTCATCACGGAAACATTGAAAAAATGATTCAATTTTTTAAATTCCCAAACAATAGCACAAGAATTCTTACCAAACTTTTCTCTCAGCTATTTGGAGCTAGACTGTATCTCATATTTATCATAAAATTTTCTCAGTGTGATAAAAGATTCCAGAAAAATTATTTCCAAATTATTATAGAATAATGCTGCTATGCTCTATTATAAGATCACGCACTCTTGTATAACTACAATGAGGAACTCTACAATTAATAGTCAATTTTGATGGGTCCTTAGTATTTAAATTACTCCTGTAATTCCAATGGTATATTTCAATAAGAATATGAAGATAGCTTATGCACATGTTCACATTAACCATATTATTCAGTCAGTGTGATTCCATTCCTAATCAGAAAAATCTCTTTTAAATCAAATTAACCTTATTGATATTAAATTTAAAAATCTGATGGAAATACATAGGACACTAAATGTATCCCAAAGGCCAGTGTTTTAAAGGTTTAGTTCCCAGCTCACCAGCTTAGCTCTATTGAGAGGTGATAGTATCTTTAAGAGATGGGGCCTAGAAATTCATGTTGATAGTGTGCCCTCAGTATGGATCACGGAAGTCCAAACTGTCCTTCTCTCTCTTTTTTATATCCTGGTTAGGAGGTGAGCTGCCTTGCTTTGTCATATGGTTTGTGGTATGATGTTCTCCCTTGTCAAAACCTAAAAGCAATGGAGCTAACCAATCACAGGCTAAAATCTCCCAAACTATGAGCCAAAGTGTAACTTTCTACCAAGTAAGTTGGTTATCTGAGGTATTTCACTTAAGTAATGGAAAACTGGCTAATACACATTCCTTAAGTATTGCTTCTCAAGTCAAAACT